GGTCAGGTGTAATTTTCCAGTTTTTCCCATCTGTCTCCAAGGTCCAGGGCAATACTAGAAATCTGGTCCGATTCAAGGATTCGAGTAATCCCATACTGCATGTGCCTTGGGTCTTACCCTGGTGGCCGAGACAAGCCATCCCAACACTTGGTGGCACACCAGTATCAACCTTGGCAAGATAAATCTCCCCAAACTTATCCAATGGCTGTGAACATTTAAAACTAAGACGAGTCTCTATACGTGTCCAGTTTTAATGTCTTACACAGAATTATACCAAATAACATGAATCAAACATGCACTTTATTTATTTACACTAAATATCAAAAGTACATCAGATGCTAAGGGCATACAAAACTGTCTAACATTTTGGCCCCCTCCGAGGGCCTCTTCACCCCACTAGTGACTTTTTGGGGTGCCACCACCGACTGCTTCCCCTTGGTGAGGACTTGCGGATTTCCCCCATTCGCCGGGGCAGGGAGCAACTTCAGCGTCAGGCCTCTTCGGCATTTGCCCTCCGACTTTCTTCCCGGCCTACTTCTCCTGGGACTTCTCCAACAAACGTTGCTTGATATCCATTGTCACTTCAACGAAACAACAAAGGAAAACATTTAGTACAATAAATTTAAAAAGAAAAGAACGTGGAAGACGCACTAACCACAAAACCTCTCTTACCGAGGGGGGTGGGGCTAATCCCAGCGAAAACTAGGGGGACCTCCTCCTCCACCAACGACTTTGCCTGGAATGTCACCATCACAAGCAGGTGAGCTACAGCTACAGCCTCTTCGTCTCGGAGCTGTGGGGGACATCTCCTGACGATGACACAGGCATCCCCCTAGTCGGACCTGAACGCTAGCCCTCACGGTAGGAGACGTAGAAGAACTTATCCTCCACGCATGGATGGACGAGGGGTTATGTATAGGCTTCCCCCTTCTCGGGTGGAAGTAATACATGTTGGCCTTGGTGCGAACATGGCACAGAATAGCCTCAACATCAACTCCACGCCCCTGAACCGAGCCCACACCATCATCGCCATGATGGTCCTAAGGGCGTTGGATATGAGCTAGCTAATAGTGATGTCGTACCACTCCAACAACTCAGAGATTAAGGGAGGGGAAACCTAAGGCCAAACTCCAAAAAATGATGGTAGACACAGATTTCTCCCTCCTCGGGGGTCCACGGCTGATCGCCCACATCGAGGACCCTCGAGTCATAAGACCAAGGTATGTGGAATCTCCTCGCCAGGGATTTGACCTGGCACACATCCAAGGAGCTGTCAAACTCTGAACGCGAGACACCACCGTCAGCCACCCTTCGGGCAATACTCCCTCCCATTGCTCAAGCGACGAGTCCCACAACATCAACCTCAAAGATAGGAGATCCCTCGGGCTCCCTCAGCGACACCGAGGCAGCGCTTTCATGGGGAGAGTCATTCCCCTGATGACTACCCTCGGCACCCCCCGAGGTTAACCTTTCCCTAAAGACGGCCACCTCCCGACAAAGGGATGCTACGGCTAAGGAACCCAAGGAAGACAAGGGAGAGGGGTTGTAGGAGAACTCCCTCCCAAGATGTTCAAGAGTTCATGGCATTCTAGGTCGAAATCTAAAATCGACATATTTGATTACCTAAGAGAGGGTGAAATGTCCCGAAAAGAGTAAGAAATAGGAAAGTCCTGGAGAATTAAGAGTTGGGGAGGTGCGTTCACTTGAGAGCAAGGGCGTCTAAGTTCAAATGAAAGAGAAAATCACCACCAAGGTCCCTATTTAAAAGAAAATGGATGGTCGGGATCTCTCTGAATCCGACGGCGGAGACGAATCCGCTCCCACCGTCCAACTGTAATGTGCCACCAAGCGCTCGGCCTCGGAAGACAAAACAATGCCCAAAGCAACGGTTTAGATCGATGCAAATCCAACGGATGCGGGAGTTCTCCGTTTCTACGAACCAGTTCCACCGCACCTCCTAGCGCATGCCCTCAGAAGGCGAAACGACACCGGGTGGACTGCAAAAATTGCCCGTGGCAGCCCGCCCATTGCGAACCACCGAGCAGACTACTTAACCCAACTAACGCATGACTACTGGAATAATCGTCCCCCGCACGGTAGCCCCCAAATGTGGCCTGCCCGTGCATGATACGGGACACCTCTACCAAACTGAGACATCCACACCACACGCATTCCCAAACCAAAGAGGGACGACACACACAGCGAAAATGATGCCACTACAGGACACCCGTCGGCTAATGAATACGAAGGTATAACAACCACTACTCCCAACAAGAAAAGCCAATGCCTTACCTCGACTACTACCCTCGTTGCCAACCGAAACCAAGGCCTTGTCTCGGCCTCGGGAGTGGGGGGCAAATGATGTGGGTTAGCTTGGCCCAGAGCATCGCAGGCTGGGAATTCCAGCCCACTAACGTCTGACAGCGTCAGCCACAGCAGGAGGGAGCCTTGTTGCCTTCATACGGAGCTAACCGCATGACAGTCAGACATACCTACCAGGGCCTACCGCCTAACCTCGTACGGCTCTCATCTGGGGCGTTCATCTTCACCTACTTCTAGCACGCTCAAGTATAAATAAGAGGTAGCTCCCCCTTAAAGGGGATCTGGAATAGAAAATCCTAACTCAGCTTACTCGTTTACTCCTTACACCCACCTTGTCTCCTTAGCATTTACTCTCGGAGATTTGGTGCATCCAAGGACTATCACCAAGACCTCACCTACACCCTCTCCTACTTTACACCTCGTACTAACTTGAGCGTCAGAGCCTCTACCTCGGGTACCCGCCCGAGGCCTCTGACATTCCCCGTCTTGCAGTATCTCTGGTCACCAGGGACCTCGCCTCGRCCTACAATACTCAGCTACCACGGCCCTCGGAGGGGGTACCTCGCCTTGGCCTACGGTCCTCGGCTTCGGCTCACCTCTCCCGAGGTCTCAAAATCCTCGGCCAACATTCGGAACCTGGAGACTGAATTTACCTAGTTGCCCCTGCCAATTCGTGCGGTAACAGGTATTAATGTGCAATTTACAAAACAAAACAACAGAAGATGATTAGATGAGCACAGCAAACAAACTTGGTTAAACAAACTCAGCACACATGGATCCGTTCTGGTTTATACATTTGTTCCCTCCGGCAAAGGACCTTCTCCGTATAAGCTCTCTCAGAGATGCAGTCCAGAGTCCGCGCATTAAAGAAAGAGAGAAAAAATCACGTTCCTGAATCCTGACCATAACCTCTTCCAAGTCCAAGCCTAGAGTTTTAAGTTGAGATCAACACTATCACCTGCTTCACCACTATGGTCGTCTGTGCTTGGGGCCGCTCGACCAACCTGTCCCTTTGGGGGCAAGAAGCTGTAGAAGGGCTGTTGTTCTATGCTTCCCTACACACACAAAACACATACCCAGATGTTATAAATACCAGAATTAGATCGTGATTCGTGAATGTGGGAAAATTAGATCGATCCGTTGTTCTATCTTACTTGAATTGGAAACAAATCGAATTCTGTTAAGTCCCGGTAATGGAGACCCAGGAAATCCAATGGTTGTTTAGATTTGGAAACCATTGAAGATGATGAACTAGTTGCAGAAAGGCCCAAGGTGAGAAAATCACCCTCAAGCTGAGCACCATTCTCTTGGATGCCCCTTTTATGGTTGATCTCTGTCATGCCTCTCCTGCAATCAACATGGGTTGTTATCGATCCCAAAGGAATCCTTCTGATAAATGGAGCCAAAGCAGTCTTAATCAACTACTAAGATTTTGGCAAACACATAACAAGTAGAAACTAGGCCAACCTGAGTACCTGACTATTGCATTTCCCTGTTCATAATTGAGCATGCCACCATTCCCACATGAAGATGATTCTTCTGGTCTGCAAATGGGAGTACCCAACGAAGGATATCTGTAATGGAAGGAAGGAACAGATGGGTTGTCCACAGAGAATGGCCACGACCGTTTTATGCCAACCATCTTTACTACATTGTAACCAAATTCACTGTCAGAAAAGAAATCAAAAACAAAATATCCACATTTTTTGGTTCTGGTTGTTTTTGCTTCTCCTTGTAAAATTTTTCAGACAGAAATTTTTCCTCCCCTTTTGATTTATCTTGATGTAAATGCTAAATATCAGATACATAAATCAATCAAAGTTCATCACAAAATGAGCAAAGATATAGATCAAATAATTCAACCCGGAAAAAAAAAAAACAGAAATCCCTCCATTTTACGTTGAAACAAAGAGAGCCTCATAAAACAAGATGTTACAGTGAAAGCTAATTAACAGTGGAAAAATCAACCATTTATGATATCCAATGGCGAATGGTTAGACATACCTTCTCTTCAGGCCAAAGTAGTTGTATATAGTTGCTATAATAGCTTTGGTTTGAAGGGGGCTCCATCTGAAGATTTACTCCAGAGGACGATGAAGTCACCGAGGCAGCATTCACCTGCAAATACCATAGTCTGAGATTCCCCATCTAAGATTATAAAATCAACGAAATAACACTAGAACTGCTTAGTTGCTCGCCATTGATGATGAAGAATGCTGTTGTTGAGGTTGTTTACTGTGTGTGATAACTGGGGGAAGCCAAATTGTGTTGTCATTCTGTAAACGGCTGCGAAATGTGAAACCCGGGTCCAATTTAGAACCTTCACTAAGTTCATGAGAATTCCAAATGGACTGAAGATAAGCATCTCCTGCACCTGTGACGGCCGAATCACCAAGCGCAGAGAAAACTCCCCCTTCAGCGCCTAGAGGGCTACTGGGAAGACCATGAAGTGGTGGTGGTGTTGGATTCGGTGGAGGTAGAACAAAGAGATCATGGGTAGAGATCGGAATAGAGGGAGCAACTGGTCTGAACAGAGAACTGGATGAAGAGAGATCAACTGGAGGTGGCGGAAAAGGTACAGAAGATTGTGAGTGATAAGGGTTGTGTGGAGGGAGGGGAATGACGATGCACGGCGACGATGGCACAACTGCCACTGATGCCGCGTCCTTCTTCTGCTGCTCTTCCAATCGGATCTTCTCTAGCTGGGCAACGCCGAGTCCTCTTTGTGGGATCTTTTTCTGTTTCAGCTTCTTAGTAGATCTACTTCCACTGCCACCACCACCGCTGCTGCTATTGCTACACCACCTCTGATACTGTTCTTCTTGTACCATTCTTCTTTCCTTCCATGTAACCCACCAAGGAGACCCAGAAACAAAATTCAAAAAGAAGATGCCCAGAAGCAAAATTGAGAAAAGAAGATGAAAAGAATTCAGAACCCAAAATCCGAACTTTTGAGAKGAAGTTTCAACAAGGAAGAGAGAAGATACCGTACAAAAGAAAAAAAGAACACGAGTAAAGAGAAACAGAAACCCCCATTCTAAGACCGAAAATCTCGCAGGTGCTGGAGTCAAAATCGGCTACTTAAAGGAAAAGAAGCCCACCCAAGTTTCAGAAAGAGAGAGAGTAACGGGAGCTCCAGGATCTGAGGCTCCAAATTTTGCCTGTCTGAGAGAGAAATCAGCCCGGAAAAACGCCTGTGTTGAATCTGGATGCGTAGTGCCTCCATGGTGGAGGCTGTACAAATCTGGTCACTACCTGCAGTGGGGCCGCGTATGCCATTGATACAGCATCATCCACCATAAACAGCCAAAATTTTCTCCTTTTTAGTATGATCATACTATTAGCATTAAATGTGTTTAGACTTTAGAATCAAAGCATTCAAGCAACCTAACATGCATGGATGATGGATGTGTGTGAGAATGTGAGGACTGAGGACTGAAGAGTTAACGAAAAGGCTTAAAAGAAAAGCCAAGGAATTTCATTGACGTGCAGAGAGAAAATATATCCCAAGAGATTTGCCTTTTGGATTGGACACACAGTAGAACTAGAACCATTCAAAACAAATCATGTCTGGCAGTGCGGGAAAGAAAGAAAGTTTTGTCTTCAATAGACCCAGCCAGCGGGCCACCTCCCATATCATACCGCCCCAGCCATTGACAGGGATGGTAGAGCTTCCACGTGAAACCTCTTTTGTCATTGCTCCTGCAAAGTCAAAAATTTGGTAGCTCTGCAACTTAGATATAAAGTTCCCAACTCGAACCCATATGTGGATTCTCTGGATTCTTTCTTTATATTAAAAACTATACTGCACTCCACCTCAGCAGACTTATAACAATTCAAAATTGTAAATACTCCATCTATAATATTCAGCATATTTGCATCAATTCCAAGTTAACACCTATGCAACTGTTATGATAGAGCTAAGACTTATTGGGGGTGGACTCAACAATAAAAACCCCTTCTTTATATCATCCTCAGTCTCTGTGAGGTTTGGACCCAAAACAGGGAACACACCATTTTTAGTATGTACTCGTCTACTCGACCCTTATTTGGGTCCACTTGTCTCTGCTCAATTTCAGCCGTGCGATATTGTCGGTTGGTTGCCATGTGCTAGGATTGTGCATGGTCCCACCAGATATAAATGTTTTGATCAGCCACCCATGAAGTAGAGGTCTCCCTTGTCAATGCCAGCCACATTGCCACGGAACTGAAATTAACCAATTTTCCTATACATTTTAAATTCGAGCCAGCTTTGTTTTATCCTTGCCAGCCGGTCTAGCAATGTAAACAACCTTTTTAATTTGTTATAATTCTGATTCGAAAATATTGTTACAAATCAAAAATAAATAAACTGCTTGAGAAGGCAGAAAAATTCCATTTACCTTTTTAAGTTTGCAAGAAACTATTTTAAACAAAAAAAGCTTTTGAAAAAAGCCCATTTCAAAAAGTGGTTTTCTCATAAACCCATTTAGGCCAAAAWAAACCCCAAACACAACCTTAACCAGATTGGTGTTCATGAGTTCTCCAGCATTTTTCATCTCTCTACCTAATCAACACCTAGTTTTAGGCTTCTAGCTTTGCACCATGAATGCAAAATGCCCATTACTTCTTTTGTCGCTCTACACTAAATGCATGCATTTCACAAACAACCAAAGTATGATATGGCATCAAATTCATATCAGATCAAATCACAAGGAAAAGCAATCTTACCCTCATGCTACAAGTCTAGTTTGGTACGAGATCATGAGTCTTAGAAGCAAAGAAATTCGCAATTGATGAAGGGACAGGTGACTCTTCCCCAATTCTACCAAAAAATAAACAAGCTACATTGAATACATATTTGCTTCTATTGTGGTGGAGGCAGCCTACATGTTAAGCCTTCTTAAAACAGTAAATAACTAACTTCTTATAGAAGAGATCCTGCTAGAACCCCATGTAATGTATGGGGGTGGTCAAGAAGATTGTGGTGAATTCTGATCAAGCTGCTACATCACCTATTGTTTTTCATTATTAGCCTTCCATGTTCCATCCTCTTGGTGCCATGCACCATAGAAATAAACCCAATTCTAGAATGAGATTATTGCTCTACTCAAATAGATATGGTTCCATTGAAAAGAAAACTTTCTCAACTGGCTAAGTAGCTAGGTAAGGACTATTGATCCCCGTTGCCACCTTTCCCTTGTTGGTGGGAAGAGACTAGTAGCTTGGATAGATGTGACTTGGCCACTCAATGGCAAGTACCAAACAATGCACCGAAAGCTAGTTATTTAATATTTATAATAGAAATCCAGTAGAAGCTGGATAACATGTGACCCAAGTGAGAGGTAGAAATCTTTTAGGCTTAGTTTGAATATTGCAGTGCGGATTTCATTTGCATTGGTGTTAATGCAAATAGGTTGAGTACGGGCTTACTTTTGTTTTGGATTTAATTTTGTCTTGTTTGTTTCTGAGAAATAAAATAGGGATTAAAATGAAATATAATCCCCACTTTATAAAAGAGAATGGAGATAGGACAGTTACTTGTTTGAAAGTGAGGTAGGAAGCAAGGTGATATAACCCCTACTTTATATGAGATAGAATTGAGCTACAGATGGTGATGCTGATTTTGCATCAGTTTTTGGGATACAAAATACATTGCTAATGAGTGTAAATGAAATGAAAAATTTGTATAACATAAGAGTGAATTATAGGCTCAGTTTGAAAGGAATACAAATATAGATATGTAGAATGCAAAACCTTATGTTTTGTATCATTTTTATACCCTTTATATTACAAACAAACAGATGCAAAGTTGAACTGATTGCAAGTTTTTTTCTTTTTTTTTTTTATTGGGTCATATTTGCAACGCATACTTTGATGCTTTGGGTTGGTTCCTTCACTTGTGCATATTCTAGTGGACCCCGAAGCACATAGATACATTGATACAATAAAATACTGGGGGCTCTAATAGTTTGAGGGGTTTATAAACATCCTCCTAATCTAATGCTTATAAAATAAAAATGAAAAGAATAATGGATATCGGTGGTACCAATATCCACTTGAGGATGTCTAGCATATCGATATTTTGATCCATGATTAAGGTGGCATTCGGTATCGCTGAATAGACCTCTGACTCCCGAAAATATTACTTTTTTAGTGATCGGTGGTCGTTCGGTTGCACCTCCGGACATACCCTCTGAATGTCGAGAGCACATACACCTCCAAAATTTCAGAGGTCGAGCTACCTCCGAAGGTTGCAGATGAAACCTGTTTTCCACTGATGCCCCTTCCCACCGGTGCGTGATGGAGAACGAACAGGAATACTGGTTCGAGCTTGCACATGGTCACGGCCCGGATGAAGAATCTTGAACAGGGGACGCGGGCTCTGTTGGTCGGGTACTTGAAGAAAGGTGGTGCCAAAAGCCCAAAACATTAGTTGTTAATCCGCTCACCGGCAACAAAGGAGGAGAAAGAGGGCACCGGGAGGAGAGTGAGGGCACGGTCGTGTAAAAATGGAAGAAGAAGAAGAAGAAGAAGAAGAAGAAGAAGAAGAAGAAGAAGAAGAAGAAAGGGGGAGAGAGGATAGAGAGAGGGATCGGTCATGAAGAAAAAGAAGAAGGAGAGAGAGAGAGATTGGGCAGAACCGTGACCGTCACATATCATAGTTCAGATGTGGTGCGAGAGGTTGAAGACAACCTCTAATTTGTTCAGTTTTATTTTTTATAATATTAATATTATTAACATTTTGTAAATATTATTTTATATTAACATTATATTAAAATTATTTTACAATGTTAATATTTGAAGGCAAATATTAATATTTTGAAAATTTAAAAATAATAAATATTACTTTATAATATTTTTAATTAATATAATTTTGATAATTTTAATCTTTTTATTAATATTGTAAATCTTTGTAGCAAAAAATATATTGTAATTTGTAAATATTATTTATTATTTTTAATTTTCTAATTTTATTATTTCTTAATATTTAATATTTTTGTTATTTTATAATTTTATATTATTATAAAATTTTAAAAATTTCTAGCATTATTATTTAATAATAAGTGACAATTTGAGGGGCAAATTTGTAAAATGCACACTTTTCAGATGTAGATCATTCAGATTGTCAAATAACTTCGTCACATTCAAATATCTGCAAAGTAAATTTTTTTCAAATGTTTTTAGAGTTTTKTGAAGGTTTTTTTGCTTTTTAGACTTCATACTTCAGATTTATAGAATGCCACCTAAGAGAAGAGTGCCCTAACTATGCCTATTATGAAGCAATGATAGCTCTACTTCACTAAGGACTTTTTAGACCTTAAACTAATTAATTCTATACACAAAGAAGCTGGTTGGTTTTCAATAGGTCCAATAAAGGTTACTAATATGTGGAGTCCCTAGGATAGTTTCTATCTCAACTTACCTATCTCAAGTTATCCATTAGCAAAGATAATCAAGAATTGTAGAAAATGTAAATTGATGAATACAACTCTAGACAGTTGAATGCCCTTTTCGCAAAGATTAGTGATGATGAATACATGGAGGAAGAGGAGACCGAAAAAAACAAACACCAAGGATGGAAGCCTTACAAGGATTCAATGCCTTGAAGAAAAAGGTCACCATCCCAAAATTTTCAAAGACTGCACAAAAGGGACTGATGTATATCGAGATCTCCTTAAATAGGAAACCCACGAAGGCCATGGTGGACACATGTGCTACCCATAACTTCATCTATATTGGAGAGACACAATGTTTGAAGCTTGTTTCTACCAAGGAGACAGGGCGATTGAAGGTGGTGAATTCTAATGCCAAACCTATTCAAGGAGTAGGTCATGAAATAGATCTACAAGTGGGTGATTGGAAGGGGTAGGTTGATTTGCCTATAGTTCCTATGGACAACTTTCAATTCATATTGAGCATGGATTTATTARCACATGTGAAGGCGGTGCACATGCCTTTCCTTAATTCTGTGTACATCTTTGAAGGGCCCTCACCTTGTGTGGTGACAATCATACCTAGAGCTAGCCAAACTAACAAAGCTAATCTTAGCTCTAGAGCTTCAAAATGGTGTTCAGAAGGGTGAAGCCACATATCTAGCTCTGATGGTGAATTTTGAACCCTAGGAGATAGCCTCAAGAAGTGTACCTCCCAAAATCATTGTTGTTTTAGATGAGTTTGGAGATGTCATGCCACCATGGCTTCCAAAGAGACTACCACCAAGACAAGAAGCTACCACAAGATCAATTTGGAACTAGGTACCAAGCCCCTAGCCCACCCTCCATATCGCATGTCTCCTCTAGAACTAGCTAAGTTACAGAAGCAATTAAGTGAGTTGTTGGAAGTCAGGTTCATTCAACCTTCCAAAGCTCCTTATGGGGCCCTAGTCTTATTCCAAAAGAAACACAATGGCTCACTCTACCTCTGGATGACTATCGGGTTTTGAACAAGCTCACCATCAAGAATAAGTACCCCATCCCTCTAATAACAAATAAGTTCGAC